GCGCCCCTGCACATTTTGGACGCAATGTTCGAAATTGGTTGAATGTCAATTTTCCAGACAGGTGGTTAGGCCGAGGAGGTCCTATAGCGTGGCCGCCACGTTCACCTGACCTAAATCCATTGGATTTCTATTTTTGGGGGTCATTAAAAGACCTAGTTTACTCGACTGAAGTAAATACTCAAGAAGATTTACTTCAAAGAATCCATCAGGCTGCAAATGAAATAAAAAGAAAAATGTTTTCCACTTTTTGGGCTACGCAATCATTAGTTCGTCGAGCGAGACTCTGTATCCGACATGATGGAAATTTATTTGAACACTTATTGTAAAGCTAGTTTTAAGTATATCCAACTGTATGTCTTCTTTTTTAAACAAATTTCAATTTCGTTCGTAGAAAAAACATTTTTTTTTTTTGTTTTTGCCTAAATGTTAGCTATGTTGCAATAGAAATATGCGATTTTCACATATTTTTGCAACTGAAAAAGACGTTGAAATGTAAGCATTTCCAGTCGATCGAAGAAGTACAAAATGCCGTAAAAGATTTCTACCAAGCAGCAGCCAGAAGAATTGTTTGAGCAGGGTATACATATAAGCCTTAATTAGTAGCTGTAATTATTTGTAGATATATTTGCCAATAAATTTTGTCTGGCCAAAGATGGTTTTCACTTGAACAAGCATCGTATATAAACCCCGATAATTCTTCGCACCTATTATACATTTTCTACACCTTATAGATTGGCCCGTACGTTCTCCTTTAAAACAATATATAGAGAAATATTATCCACTCATTGCGAGTAATACAATTAACGTAGATCTACCTGCGTTGAAGTCTGACCGATGTCTGACCCATGTGGGGCTGGCAACGCTGCCAGATGGGCAAGGATTATAAACTGTAAATAAATCTTTTTGACTCACTTAGGGTGGATTTTACCAGGATTGTCAAATCAACACTACCTATATAGCACCTACTTGATGACAGGCTCTACCAAAAATTTCATAGATATTACTCGTTTCCCTTCCTTCATTTACTTGCCGTTCATCAGTACCATTATAGCACCGTCGATTGATATTCCCACAAATCATTCAGGATTTTTGATATCCATACATCCATAGTCAAATATTTTTTGATTGTTCAGGAACTGAACAAACATCTACACTATATTTACAACGACTAAGAAATACTCAAATATATGTCGTAAAGCTACCGGAAAACTTAACACCAGCAAGAAAATAGAATTTGCAATAACTTTTATGTTTCACACATTCTAGGTTATATTTATATTAGACATTATTTGAATAACAGCTGACTATTACATTTCAAAACTCCCCAACGAGTGACACATGTGTAGGATCCGTCAACCCTTGGTCCCAGTGGAGGAAGCTCCGCCAACTGTTGAAATATACTCAACTATGCTTTATAAGACTATTGGTGGATGTTTTCCCAAAGTCGTTGCACAATACTTGAAAAAATGCAAATGAAAATTTAAAATTATGTCCATGACGCTGCAAAATAGCTCAGTCGGTACCTCGGGTTATACATCTAGACAGTAGGGATGCTTGATACAATCCTATATTTAGAAGTGTCGATACATTTCACGAGTGTCGTGATCTTTCGATCCGGACTGTCATAAAGAGTGACTAACTTCAGATTACTTTTCTTCTTTGTTTCCTTCCCCTGGATATCTATAATTTTATTCCAATATTTTAGAGTATCGATACTTGCTAAAACGATAAGAATCGATACATAACTATACTTTTCGTGGATCTAAACATCCCTGATCTTGACAGCTTGTCGTTCTTGTAAACTGGGATGTAGGGTGCGGTGTTGCCTTTACTATGTTACATTTTGCTAAAATCTTATAACAAATAAAATCTTCAAATGAAATATTGACGAATATGAACGTATATGCATAGAATTTAGAATATAAATTCATATTGCAAATTTCAGATTGTTTATGCATTGAATTGAACCAGATTTTTCGGTATTTTTACCGAAAAGAGAATATTGACCGATAACATCAATCCTCCACGATTTTTCAAAATAATTTAAATATCTCTATACTTGCCGAAAAAGAGCTGAAACCAAAAATAAAGCTAAAAGTTGATTATGTGTAGTCTTCATAGTTTTATGCAACATATCAATCATACATATGCCTACACACCCAGGCACATGAAAGGCGTAGATTTGGGTTGCCTATGATTACGAACGCACATCCTCATCCCTTACTCCGCTAGCCCTGAATTGATTTTTGGGCAAACAAAAGGTTCCGACTGGTAGATTACCGTTATTACCGAAACCTGTCTGTTTTCAAAATAAATATTTAATTAAAACGAGACGTGAGTTCAAGAGTTCAGGGGTAAAACAGAAAAATATTCACAATCCTATAAGCAAGAATCGAAAAAGGAGTTTTCATAATGGTTGCCAAGTACTTCGGAAGAGCAACCAGTATGCACATTGTAGAAGTTGTAATGTAGTACTATGCCCTCAAAAAACATGTTGTGTGCGCGCCCAATACAATAACAGACGTTTTTCATGACTCAACGGTCCTTGATCTACCAGTGATCTTGAGACGGCATTTATCTTATACCGAATTCAATGACACTATTTACCGATTCCGCAACACTGCAGATGTGCAGATCACTTTAAAAGCAATTGATATCCCAGACGTGTTATAATAATATAAATAATAAGAAAATATAACAATGTTTGGAGATATATTTTCATAAATAGGTATTTTTGAATCTGACTTATAATATCTAGACGATGAATAATAGGTGGATGCAGATACTTTTACAAATTAATATCGATGTTTTAGGACCCATAAATGCAGAATGTGCTGCTTGTTTACATTTGGAGTGGATTGCTAGATCATAAATTGGCAAAAATTGTTTTTGATGTAACAAAGGATGATGAACCAGTTGGAGTACGTTTTATATCCTTTGTTTTGCAAAATCGACCTATTATTTCTCTCATTTTCATTGGTCCATTTAAATAACTGACCGTCTTTTCTGAAATGATAACAATTTGAAATTCTATGACAGTTGTCCTAATTCTAAAGTACAAAGACATAATATTACATCGATAATGTACCCTTATTTACAAGGCAACCGTTTTTTCACGTCTGTATTCAACATTTCAATAGAAATCACCGATATTCAGAGAGCTCTGACAGCTTCCGTCAAATTGCATTTCGATAAGGTATTTTCATATTGGTCCAACTGACCGTCAAATATTAATGTTGGTGAAATTGGCCCGCAATCTGTTTAAATTTCGTCTTACTTTAAATGTTCGTGCGACAGCGCAGTTCAAAAGCGCAGCGTTAACATAGTTGACAAAAATTTTCGAAATCAGAAATAAAGGAAACATCGGTAATTCACTGTAATCAAAAGAAATTGTTGTCAATACCCCTTCGGCATACAACGGAATTCATAAAATCGACCAACTTAGTAATACTTATTTTATCTTTTTCTATTTAACTGTGCTTTCTCTCTAAATTTTAAGTCTGAAAACCAACTTTTCGCTAACCAAAATTCATTAAAACTCCCACTTAATACGTTCGCCAGCATAGCTAAAAATTAGGAAAATGAAAAAGCATCCTCTTCGAGCTTTGCAATAAACCATGCAAGTTCTGATAGTACGTATTAATTTATAGTTGTATGCATAGAATAAACTATACCTTCCAAAAGTTAGGAGTGTAATTAATATAGTTTCTAGAAAAGTTCCTCCGGACAAAGTTTTCAACCCGAGATGCAACTATTGAAAATTAGGAAGTTTCTGCAAGGAAACTTTTGCAGGTGGGAAAAATAGGATATATATTCCTGAAGCCAAAAAGTGGGTTTATAAAAGTTAAGAATGTGGGGCAAATGTGACACAAAAGCATGCCGGACGTACTTATTCCAGAAACTGAATTAATGGATATTCGTCAGTTTTATGCATTCAATTCATTGCTCTATACATTCAAACATAAAAATATTCTGATGGAAATAGAACGCCAGTATCAAACACCGCATAAGGCAAAAGGGGATATCCCATCTAGTGAGCTGACCACATTTTGACGTCGAGATCAGTCATTCTTATGCGACGACACTAGACTCATTTTATAATCGGTTTGTTCGTACAGTGGTCGGTGACTTGTCGGTCACAGTGTCTGGGATCCGACTTTGTAGGTTCTGTCTATATAGCGCAGCAGAATGAACGCAATTTATGTGGTGGAATCTTGGACACGATCACTGACAGGTTGGCGATAGCTGTACGAACAGGGCTCACATCATTATGACACTGGTAAAATGACGTCATACTATGACGTCAATATATCGACTTTATCTAGCCATTCAATCACGTTTAAGGTCACAAATTATAGGCGGCCATTTGTTACAGTTTCTTTTATCGACTAAAAACTAACTATATCTTGGATAAAATAAATAATTACAACGTTTTTCTTACTTAGAATAATAATTTTATAGCAGTTCTAAAAAATATAGAATTTTATTTTTATAACACTTGGACCTATTTCACAGTTTTTTTTTCAGAGGGTATAGTATAGTTTGTGCACAACCTTTGATTCCGGCTTTGGCCAAAAAGCTTTCGGTGAAATCCAAATCACGAACTTCGTACATCCAGATCTGAGCGATACGACCGCTTCCTTCTCCCGAAGATTTCGAGATTGTGGAACAATCTACAAAAGGGAGCTTTTCCCGTTCTACTAACCTTAGGCAGTTCAAAAATCGGATTAACAAAATGTCTTTGGGATCCTCATAGTAGCCGCGGTGTCCTGGCATTTAGGCTTCTCCGGCTGCTTCGGTATAAAAAAAACCTTGTAACCATGAAGCTAAACTCAGATTTGTCTATTTCAGTGAAGACGGGTGGCTATGTCGATATATGCGCATTTTTGCCGATGTACTTCGTCAGAAAAACAACATAATAAATGCAAAGTAATATATTTATTATCATAAGAATAGTTTTGAAACATGGAAAACGTGAATGAGTATGATTTTACAAGAGCTATTTGCTAAAACACTTATTTACATATAAAGTATTTGTCGATATGAAATGTAGAGATGCCTCCATTGATATCGCTTAAAGAAAACATAGATGTTTCAGTGATACAAAAGGATCTTTTTACACTTGATTGTTTAACAGCAAATGATTGATCCTATCCAACTTTTGCCTCAAAATCATACTACTGTCTAGCAGCTCTCTCACAGCTTCATCCAGCTGAGTCTTCAGCAACTTGTTATTATTTGTCTCAGCACTATTATAAGAACTTAACCTCGACAAAGCTGGGGATATCATTCCACTACACCCATCTCTACCCTTATTCTTGTTGGATCCCTTGCATCTTGGCTTTTCTTTACGTTCTACAACTAACTGATATGCACTTCTGACCAGCTCTTTAGGAATCCTCTCTTCCCTTGGATCATTTGGCCTAATGTACAGTGCCCAATGATACTGTGACTTAAGTAATAAGGCTTGTTTATGAAGAAACTTCATTACCTTATGAGGAACACAGCCCAGGAGCCTTGAAAATAACATGCTTTCTAGATGCGCAACAAGTTGAGCTTGTCGTACTAGTCTGTCCAGACCAGCACTTTGTTGTAGCCCTTGGATATCACTAACTGCTAGACCAACCATGAGATTCGTCAAAATAATTGTCACTAATAGCACAAAGCAGAGATACATTAAGTGTGCTGTATAAGGATACTGTGTTACTTGATTGTCATCGTCTGGAAAAAAGACATCTTCATATTCCAGCTCACCACTCATCATAATGATAACCTTGAGTAACACCCACTTAAGGTCAGAAAAGGCTGGGTAGTTTGCAAAGATCACGCCAAAGCTCAGAGCAAATGCTATAAGAAGGCAAAAATAAGCCAAAATAAACTTTGTAAAATTAACCGAGACCGTCGTAAACATCTGGATGTAGAGACCAAAGATGGGGAAGCGACCCACAATCATCATAAGCTCTAACCAAGACAGGAAGATTGAAATAGCTGCAGCGTGATGTTGCCAATCATGAATATCCTCTTCTACATTTCTTGTAGGATGGACACAAGAAAATACACTCAAAATTATCAACCATTGTATCCAGTTGTCCCACTGTTTAATGTACATGTACCAAGAATGAGCTATTTGAAAAACCTCTTTGGCCAGCAGTAACATGTTCATAAATATAACAACATAAGCCACATTTTTTACGTGGACCGACACCCAACAAGGTTCTCTAGTACTCTTTGCTGACGGGCAGTTCTTCACAAAAACACCGATCACATAAATGCTGAAAAGTATCACAAAAAGTGAATGATAAGCTAGGCTGAAGAGGAAGTATTTTCTGATCCTGCGCCATTTTAGAAAGAGAAAAGTTTCGCACAGGGGGTGTTTCAATACTTCTTTGTGGCCAACTTCGATGAAATTCAGGAGGAGTTCTGTTTCTTTGTTGCCCATGGTGGGAACGAGGATGCGGAAGTCTAGTTTGAGTTCGCAGTCGACGTCGCCCAGTTCGTGGTCGCTCCTAAAAAGTATAAACAGTTGAAAAACATCAGTTTTTTTCAATTCTGTAGAAAATCCTTGTTAAATGTAAACGACAGATCTATAACAGGGTGCTATAATACCTCAAACTTATACGCCTTTGATAGTTGACCTTTGGTACACGAAAATGTATTATCTGAGGTCCATCATCATGTACAAAGATGCTTTCCAAAGCATTTACATCAATTCGTGACGAGACTGCTACTGGTTTTTAAGAAAAGCCCCACTTACAATTTTCCTCTTGGAGTTTTTCATACGGATGCGCTCTTTGCTAAATAAAATTTATTGTATATCTACTAAGTGACATATAAATCCGAACACCCAGTTTAAATGGTTTTATTTTAATAAAATTTTGTATAAGTACTTAATGAAGCATAATAAGTAAATGATAAAAATTTCAAAATGATTGCACTCCTTTAAAGCCCTTTGACCTTTAGTAATGTGTGGATGCACCCTGATGTGCTACGCATTCTCCAACGCGCCTAGGCATGCTTCTGATCAGGTGGTCAATGTCCTCCTATGGTATCTCATTCCAGGCAACCATCAACTCCTCTCGAAGTGCTTCTAGAGTCTGAGGAGGACGTTGCAAATTGAGCAATCTCCTACCCATCATATCCCACACGTGCTTATTTGGGGATAAGTCGGGAGATCTTAGTGACCATGGTAACAATGTGACATCATTATGTTGAAAGAAGTCTATTGTGACTCTTGCAACATGTGGTCGGGCATTATCTTGTTGGAAAGTTGGATCTGCCAGGGTGTTAAGATAGGGTAAAAAATGCGGTTCTAGAACTTCGTGGATATAACGCTGCGCTTTCATGTTACCTCTGATGAAGATTACAGGTGACCTGGAACCATAAGCTATAGCACCCCAAACCATAACTCCAACAGTGTGATGAACATGTCTTTCAACAAAAAACTGAGGATTCCTCCTTTCACCACGTCGCCTTCTAACCCTGGCACGACCATCGTGCATGCCTAAACAAAATCGAGACTCGTCACTAAAGACAATACTGTTCCATTACTGATCCCAGAGTGACCGTTGTCTGCACCACTCAAGGCGATTACGTCGGTGTTCTCGAGTTAAAGGGAGGACCCAGTGTGGCCGGTATGAAAACAAGCCAAAACTTCTCATTCGTCGGTAAACACTTCGCATGCCAATAGGTCTTCCGTGCTCTGCAAACCATTCATTTGCAATGGACCTGGTAGTGGAGAAACGGTCCCTTAAGGCCAATAATCTTAGGCGGTGATCTTCACGGTCTGTTGTTCTACGGCGGCGTCCAGTGCCCCTTGCTCTTTGCGTACGGCCTTCTTGAAGCCATGCCTGACAACACCTAACCACAGTGTCTACACTTCTTTGCACTCTAACTGCAATTGCCCGAAAAGAAAGTCCAGCTTCCCGAAGTCCCACTATGCGGCCCCTATCAAACTCACTAAGTTGACGAAATCGTACAGGTCTCCGTACTCTAGGCATCGTAACCGATCGTAAAGGATGTCAAGAACCAAAATCCGCCAACGTTGATTCTTTACTGCGGCTGAAATATTCATTTTTAGAGCGTTAGTGAATTAAAAAAAAAAACAGTATAAAAACCGGAATGTTCAACTGATAAGGCTGAAAATTTTTTCACTTGTTATTTACAGTAAGATAAATACATTCACCAACTTTTATTAAAATAAAACCATTTAAACTGGGTGTTCGGATTTATATGTCACTTAGTATATCAACCAGTAAATAAATCTGTATATCATTATGAAAACATGATAATCGAGGTAGCCGTTTCTTTAATGAACATAACGAAAAACTCCAAGCGACACCTTTCAATCAAAAACATATCCTTGGAAAAACGACTCTTACGTTTGCAAAAACTAATGACGTACAATTAAAAACATCCGGTACCATGGAACGGAGAATTTCTGGACTAATATTCAAATGAACTTTTTATTTCAATGTGGAAAATGTATTTACTATGTTTCACCAGATGAGAGCAATGATAAATTATTTTTATTTGACAGTTGATTCCACTTTTCTCAGTATTATTTATTGAATAGTTGAAAACATCGACTATCGGATAACGCTAACACTGAATATGGATGAATGTACACCAGAAATTGCAAAAACGGTCAAACGTGAGAAACACCTCGTAATTCGAATGTCCACCTGCAAATTCCGAACATTTATTGATAATAAACTTTTATTTAGCACGCATTCTATAGCCATTTCAATATGTTGTAATTTTTAAAATCACTACCATATTGCCGGTTTACCGTCCTATAAACAATATAAATAAAATTTTAATTTTGTTTGGAGCTATGCAATATGGACTGCCTATTACATTATTGATAAAAATGGAGAACGTCGATATTGAAAATGAAAATGAACATTTTGGAGACCAATTCAGATATTTTATGATTTGGTTTAGGTTATGGTAGATATAACTGTAAAGTTATTGTTGAATTGTTCAGATACATATTTTCAACAAAAAAATATTTGAAACTTCATGTACCAGTTCATGAACAAGTAACGTTTCCATGTTTTCCTGAAAGAATTTGAGTAGTTTTATATTTTCAGCCTCCACAGTAAAAAGACACAAGTTTTACGGATCTTCTGATATCCTTGAATGGGTTTAGAAAAATAATTTGAGAAAATATTGCTTACTCCTTAAAGAGCTTTAAAATAGCATAAGCGTGCTTATCGAAGAAGGTAGGTACAGTTTTATTACTGCTGCAGCAAAAACACATTCGTGTATTTTTCAGTATTCGACGTCAATAAAAAATATTGGAGGAAAGTTCATAAAATATAAGCATGCATCTCACTAGAAAAATCTAGAGACTTATGCATCTGTTTTTCCGAGACTAATTAACGTTTATTTCCGCACATTTCGCGTCCCATCACAAAATAAATACTTATGTATATATTTCCACGATACCAAATTTAGATTGAAGCTTTAAAACAGATTTACACATGAAGAACGATACAAAAAAAATAAAAGCTATAAGATGTTCTTGGGTTCGTACCTTAAATTAATATCTAACAAATACTTCATCACCCGTTAAATAATTAAAACCGAAGGTTGGTACCTTTCGTTCCAAAGCATCACAGGTCACAAACTTAAAAACATGCGAATAGCCTAAAATTTTAGGATGAATAAATAATCTATATAAGAGGCGCCTTCACAACATCTTTGAGCTCCCCCTTTTTGAAAGTTATAGGTACGTCCGGCACTAGGAAGTAATAGTTGTCCTAAAAATTTGGCCGGAATTAGAGCAGTATTATGTATATTTTGGTGGAAGCGCAACCAGAGGCTCTTTCCTCTTATACAGGGTGTAAACGTTATGATAGTCATTATTAAAATGGTGTTAAAAGAAGCAAAAAAAATCATATAACATGGGGGTCAAAACGGCATTGTTTTAGAGAAAAGCGACTTTAAAGTAAAATAAAATCTGACAACGCCGCAACGCCAGACGCAAATTATTCTATGGACTATGGTATGCGATAGTCCTACACGGGGGCCTAGTTCCCGAGTGCTGATATCTGCATTGATTTCCACGATATTTAAAATTTGTTCCTCTTGCTCTACAGGAACCTGTCTTTCACGAGTACCAATATTAGTGAGCTGAACACTTTCTGTATCGCGAAGTCTTTGGTATACTTGCACAAATGTCCTTCTGTCTGGGCGTACCCGTTGGCCAAATCTGTCGCGATAAATTTGAGCTGCAAGATTTGAATTCTGACGAGCTTCACCGTAAACTAACAACATGTCGGCGAACTCTTGATTCGAGAACATTGTAAATAAACGCGACGACGTACGCGAACAATAACTAACCACTGTTACCGTTTGCGATCGATTGCCGGTTCGATAAGAGTGATGAGAGACCGACGCGCTGTTGTCATGTATGTTTTAAATATTCAATTTAATGAAACTTACTTACTTACTGACTACAAATTTTGGCTTAACTTAGAAAAACTTAATGCCATTTATTTGTGAATTACTCAATTTAAAAACGTTTTAGATTCGATTATAAAAATTAGTAAGATTGTGGTCGATATAAAGCACTTAAAGTTGTAAACTATAAAGCCATTTAGACAAAAATCTATTGACTTTTGGACCATGGGTCATATGAACTTTTTTACTTGTTCTGACCCCCTCTATCACCCATTTCAATAATGACTACCATAGCGTTTACATCCTGTATATGCGACTCAACTCACCTTTTGATAGAAGCATCAAACTTCTGCAAATACTTCGGTATGACATCTGGCGTCTTTCTAGTGATGAACCCCAGCACAGAAACACCCCCATTGGTTCTGGCAGTCACATCCCCTCCATTCTCTATGAGCAGCATGACGCAGTTGCTAAATTCGTTCAATGCCGCTAGATGGAGTGCCGTGTAACCGTAGTTGTCAGGTTTGTTGACGTCAGCACCTGCTTTGAGGAGGAGGCGGACGCAGTCGCAAGAGCGGGACACTTTCACGATGGCACTGTGGAGGGGGGTGCGGCCGTCGAGGTCCTGGAGATTGGGGTTGGCACCTGAAAGTGGGATCAAAGCTTTTATTACATGTCACACACACAGGCTGAGTAGGATCTGTCTGCTTGCCATCTCCGTGGCCATTAGTATCTGATACAATGTTGTTTTATGATTCTTAGCGTCCATCGTTGCGGTACAGGTCTAGTCATTGGAGACTCATCCTACACAAAATTGAGAGTCGCATTTTCACACATGGCATAAATAGGCAAACAAGGAAGATTCTCGCCAGATCATCTGATGATCATTGAAGATATTTATCTATTGAAACCTGTATAGAAAATGGAAGTCCAAAGTACAACGTTTGTCTAATGAGAAATCCACCGTCGAGGCACTCAGGACAGCTAAATGCTATGTCGTCTGTCTTCTAGCGTTCTTGATGTCATCTTTGATTGAAGTACCCATTTCACATTCAGTATTTCGTAAATCTACAAAATCCCGCTCCCCTTAGTTCAGCAACAGATCTACTGTTTCAGCACTTTGCGCCAAAGCTGCGAAATGCAATGGCATCTGCTTCTCAGTGTTCTTCACGCTAATCTTGGTTTCACTTTTGATCAAAGCATCCATATCTCACTCAATAATTTCGTGCCTATACAAAATCCTACTCACCTTTGTTCAACAACAGATCTACAGATTCATCACTCCATCAAAAGCATTGTTGACATGAATTTTGGCTCATCTTCGATCAAAGTACCAGTTTCTTACTCGACAGTTTTGTGCATTTGAAAATTCTTACCCATGTCTTTTTCAATAACTTTGGGTCTCAAATGAATCCAACTCACCTTTGTTCAGCAACAGATCTACAGTTTCAGCACTCTGCGCCAAGGCTGCCAAATGCAAAGGCGTCTGTCTTTTCGCATTCTTGATGTCAATTTTCGCCCCAGCTTCGACGAGGATCCCCACACACCTGGCGTCACCATCAGCTGCGGCGAGATGCAATGGAGCCACTCTATCGGTGCCTGATCGAACGTCGGTGGCTGCACCATGTTCTAAGAGTAGTTTGAGACTCTCCACGTCTCCTAACGAGGCGGCAAGGTGCAAAGGAGTATCACTGAATACCTGTAAATTTCATCTATATCATTAAATCCACAAGAAAAAAAATAATAACGGATCGGCCATAAACTTTTGGCGAAAATCAGTGATTCATATATAAGCTATCAAGTAAACCAATTATGCCTTAAAAATGCGTATATACAAAAAAAAGCTGAAAATGACCAGATTCATAAAAAGAAGGTCAAGAAGGTGGAAAAATATGTAGAGTCTCAAAAGCTTATTAGTGCCGACATATGATAAAAAGTGGAATAATTAATCTAGAGAAGTTTTATTACTTTATGTTTTGCATATGCAAATTCTTGATTCATCAGCTGTCGTGAAAGCTTTCTTCTTATACTTGAGTCACCAGTTGGGCTAAGCCCTTAATACTCTTGGATTCCGTGGCGCTGTAGGGGGCTATAGGTGAAAAGGGGGACATTACACAGGCTCTACCAGGGGAGCAGGGGATCACGTATGCATATGACAAGCACACATTTTGGCCCCACCGTACGCTGTACGGTCTAAGATCGTCTTCTACGTACGGACAATCACTTTATCCATAGCCAGGAGTCTACCACTATGCCAACACGCTAGCTCTAATAAGTGAGTAGGAGAAGTATATACACACCAAGTAGCTACTACCAGCTACCATGGAAATACAGTGGGAAAGTTCACATTTCAACTTTGTATTACGCGGCAATCGTATACGCGAGGAAGTGGGTAGAGGTCTTGAACGACGCGTTCAGCGCGAATTATGTTTCTCAGCCACAACAAGGAGTTTTTAAAAAATATTTATTTTGTAGACATGAACGTGTTACAAGTTGGAATGATAATGAATTAAAATATAAAAGGAAAATAGTTTTAATAAAGGTTTCTGCTGTCGTTGCGACTGGCGGTGTCGTCTTGCTGACGCCTCGGGTTCTTGACCTATAACGCCTCCCTCGCTAAGCTGAAAGTCCGTCCTCGGACTTTTGAAGTTTTAGGTTTTCCAAGTCGGCAATGGAAATTTTCGGCTTGAAGAAAAGCGTCTGGAGTCTTCTTCTTTTTCTTAAGACGAAGTAAATGCTCGCTGTGACGATGATGAGCATTAGGGTTGCCATGGACCAAGTTGTTGTAGACGTCACTGTAGGGCTTAGATGTAAGGGCTGTATGGCCGATAGCTGTGGTACATCTTTGAGTGGCTGCAACTCGTTGATCTGTAAGTTAAACTTTGGGCGGATCTTTATAGGGATGATATCAGGAACTTCGATTTGCTCTGAAGTAGTGCTGTAAATCTGTCCATTAATTTCGATTGGGCATGAAGAATAAACAATTGCTGCTTGACTAATATTTCGGTGAGTCTGGGAACATCTTTCAACGATTTGGATTGGCTCATTTGTACTGACGATCAGGTTTTTCTTTGTTTGGTGGATGACAGGCTGGGAAAGCTTGGCAGTGGTACAATTTTCTAAGCTGGGAAGCTGACATCTTGTGGTGGAAGCGGGTTGACATACGATTTTTGGTCCTACATCGGTGCATGTAGAATACCAGCGATTATCTCCATAGAAAGTTGCAGGAGGCAGTAGTACAATGTTTTCTTCATTATGTATGGGATAAATATGGTAAAGTCGGAAAGAGTGATCATTAAGGATCGGGATTTTGAAAAGGATGAGTAACTGAGTATTTGTGGTAATTAATGAACAACGTGAATTTTCGATAAGTTCAAAGGGATGTGAATTATCTGATAAAAGAGAATTTGATTTATATAAAGATTTTAGCTTTTCTTCTAAGTCAGTGATTTCGGAAAGTGAAAATAATTCTATGTTCGGTTGTTCTAGTGCAGATAGGTTTATACTTCTAATAAGCTTTAAAATGAATTGATTCAAACGATCAGTATTACGAATTTCGCTTTGAAGAGTAATAAACTGCTGGAATTCATCTCTAAGAAAATTAATATCTTGTGTGATTCTCACTGTATTATTATTTATGGTTTCAATCAGAATATTATATCTTTTTATTGTTTCTGATGCATAACTTGTCGAATTATTAAGCACATTGATTATACGATTTTGTTTATTTTCGATACTGAAGATGTGCCTTTCCAAAAATATACGATCGTTTTCGTCAAGGTTGCCAGTCACTGATTTAATAAAAGTTCCCAAAAAGTTAGCAATTCTTCGCCTTTGACGGGGTCGGATTATTTTATGAAAATTGTCAAGTGTCTCGGAATAGAGATGGTTATATTGTTCAAATATTCGGTAGTTGGAAGTAGTGAGAGTCTTGTTAAGGAATAGGAAGTTAGTTAGAGTCATTTTAAGCGTTGCGTCGATAGCAGTTAGGTTAACAGTAATAATATGTCGGTGATAGTGATTTAACTCTTGAGCATGGCCTATCAGTTCACGATAGTATCCATTATTCGGGATCAGGTGCACTTGAAGGGCCAGGTTGTGGTTCGTCAGGATGACGATCCTGTAACAAGGGTATTTTCCTTAGACGTTTGATTTTTCTAGGATGGGTATTGGTGGGTCTATTTTTGGAAGTAACGGCCTGAATTTTGGTATTGCTACTAGAAGTAGTTTCGGCTGATACGTAAGGTGCAGATAACTTATTTCGGGGATTTTTCTGAATATACGTAGTCATGCCATAAGTTCTGTCCCTCGTTTTCAAACAAGTGTAGACCTGTTAATACTTGTCCGATTGTTTACATTGTGGTGTCAGTTGATTAAGCGCTTTTCGGGTAATTACATATACCTCAGTTTGTATTGATCTCTCGAAGCATAACGATGGAGTGGGGCAAGGCAGAGAACCGTATTGCAGTGATAGCTTTACATAAGTGTAATCACAGTGCTAGTCAGATTTTTGAACTCTTACGCGGCCTTCAAATATCGCGTAAATTTGTGTCTAGGACCATTCAGCGGTACAATGAGACGTCCTCTGTTGATGACAGGCCAAGAAGCGGAAGACCTCGTCAAGTAAGGACTCCAGCAGCCATCAAAGCCGTAAAAGCCAGGATTCAAAGGAATCCACTCCGGAAGCAGAAGATCCTATCCAGGGAAATGAAGATTCCTGTCCGGACGATGTCGCGCATCATTAAACAAGACCTAGGGCTAGGGGCTTACCGGAGACGTACGGGCCAGCGACTTACGGCCACCTTGCGACACATCAGGGCGACAAGATCCAAGAAGCTCTTGGAGAGGTACGCAGCTGGGGGATTCCGAAAGATTTTGTTCACGGATGAGAAAATCTTCACCATAGAAGAAAAATTCAACCGACAAAATGACAAAGTGTATGCAAGGAGTTCACAGGAAGCTTCGGAGATCATTCCGAGAGTTGAGAGAGGCCACCACCCTGCGTCAGTCATGGTTTGGTGGAGGGTGTCCTACGAAGGGGTCACTCAGCTCCATTTCTGTAAACAGGGCGTGAAAACAAAAGCGGCAAACTATCAGAGCGACATACTGGATCCTATCGTCAAGCCTTTAAGTGGTACATTGTTTGCCAACCAACACTGGGTCTACCAGCAGGATTCCGCCCCCGCTCACAAGGCTAAGAGTACGCAGCGCTGGCTGGAAAGCAATGTGCCAGAGTTCATTGCTGCGGAAGATTGGCCCTCAGGGAGTCCGGACCTCAATCCTTTAGACTACAAGTTGTGGGACCTGCTAGAGCAGTTGGCCTGCTCCAAAGCCCACCGTAATATCGAGTCCCTGAAAGCGGATTTGATCCGATCAGCGGCAGCTATTCCTTTGAAAGCTGTGCGTGCAGTGATAGATGAGTGGCCCGCGAGATTGAAGCAGTGTGTGAAGGCCAAGGGGGGACATTTTGAATAAAACTGTTTGATTATGAATTCTAAAAATGTTGTCGAATAAATAATATCTTTCATATAAATATATCTTATCTTGTTTCATTTTTATCATGAGATTATCATGGGACAGAACTTATGGCACGACTACGTATATGGTTTGGCCAGGTGCTGGAGCAGGAGTGATCTCGGGTAGTCTTTCATTGCGTTTATTTAAAATTGCTGTTTCTTTATCGTGGAGTTTTCGATAAAGAGAGTCAATGAAAGGTCGAAGTTCGTCTTTATGTCGTTGGTTATATTTTTCGTAGATAGGTAAGTCATTGTCAAAAAGTATTTCTTCTGCATATGGGCCATATAAGATAGAAAAAGGTGAATAACCTGTGGCGGAATGGATGGACTGATTGTAAATTAAAACACAATGTGTAACGAGATCAGTAAAATATTCTTTGGGGCGTTCGTCGTGCATAACACGGAGCTTTTCTGTAAAAGTAGAGTGAAATCTTTCGATAGGACTATTGGAATTCGGGTTGTTCACTGTCGTAAAGTGTAGCTCGATTTTGTGAAGATTTAAAAATTCTTTGAAGAGGTTATTTGAAAATTCGGTACCTTCGTCGCAGACTATTTTTCGAGGATAATTATGGTGGGAGAAATAGTGACGTAATTTGCTAAGGATTGTGGTATTCATTTTGTCAGGTATACTGTACACTTGGGCATACTTGGAAAAAGAGTCGATGATTGTGAGGAAAGTTTCTCGATTACAGGAAAATGTGTCAATATGAAGGATGTCGAAAGGCTTTTGTCCTAGAAGTGGACCTTTTAGGGGTAATTTATATGGGTGTCTCTCGTATTTATTACGAAGACAAATATCGCAGTGGTTAATATGCTCTGAAATTGTAGAACGCATATTAGGCCAGTAATAGTGTAATTTTAAATGACTAAGTGTTTCGAGAATACCATTGTGATTTTCCTTATGGTAATTTTGGAGATGTCGTAATTGGTCTTCGGGTCTCTCTACATCTTGAACTCGTTTGGTGCAGAAGAATATTTGGATGTTTTGGTTATAAGTATTACGGACGAAGTCGGAAATATATTTTTGGATATCGGGATTGTCAGTCAGAATGTAGTATCGTTGATTGGGGGCTATAGTTTGATGGAGAGCAGTCTTGATGTCGGTTTTCCAGTCTTTTTCGGAAAGAGTGATGAGATATTCGTGTTTGGACTTGAACTTCAGACGGTATTTGGTGTTAAAATC